ATAAAACACAGGGATGAAGTTCCTCTGTAGTCCAAGGACTATTGACCACTAGACTTCCCCTCAACCTCCCTTTAGGGAGCTTGCAGGGGAGCCACCAAGGGAGCATAAGCTTTTTCCACTCGTTGCAGGAGGGTGAATTTTATCTCTAGTGCTTGCATACTGTAGAGTGGCATAAATTAAATCAAAGTGGAGCTGAGGAAATCAATTAGAGTGGAGTCTCTGCAGGATTTAGATGGTTTGCAGTAAATAAGGCCTGGGGCCACACGCTGAATGCTGAGAATGAACCAGTAATAATGAATTGTGACCCAGTCAATGAGGACCATCCGGCCAGCACACCAAAAGGGGACATCATGTCACAGAAAACAGAGCACATGAGCATGTAATTGGAAACCATATCGCGCCTGCATACATGCAAGCAGCAGGAATGGACAACACACAAGCAATTCAAGTCTTCTTCATAACTTCTGAGTGCTTTACATCCCAATCTTCACATTTTCTGGTTTCATAGATTGAAGATACCAATAAAGTGATAGGGCAGAGACTTGTTAACCATCAAAATTACCTTCATCAAAAACTCAGCTCTCAGAGGCAGCTAATGAAACCGCACTCGTAAAGCAATCACAGAGTATTCAAAATAGGCACATGGGAAGTAGCTCATGGAAATGTACTGGGCTGGAGCACACAAAGTGTGCCTGCATAGCCCCTGGGGAAAACACAGTTACACGCTGTGTTGCAAGAGAGGCTGCTTTCTGCAGAGAGGTAGCTCAAAAATCAGCACAACTCAAAATTCTTTCATGTGCTGCCATAGTACCTTATTGTGGAAACATACATGGATCTGCAGAAACTTATTCCACCTGCCTCAAAGGAACTAAGATATACGGTGTGAGCTTTTAAAGGCTGACAATTGTAGAACATCAATAATTCAAAACCTGTGTATGACTCACACTGCCCAACCCATCCCCCTAAGGTTACTTTTACTTAATATTCACAGAAGGCACATTGTTATTTCTTCTTCAAAAAAAGTCATGAATAACTTACCATTCATTACCCAAGCAATTTTTTTTTACAACTGACTTTATATAAAAGAATAAGAAAGCATAGAAAATGTTGATTCCCCAACCTCTTAAAATCTTCCTACTTTATTGATATTGAGCATAAAAGCATTATTCAAAAACTTTTAGTTTGCAGAACATTACAGTTTTGTTTGTTTGTTTAAAGGGCTCAACTTTGATATGTATTTGTTTTATAAGCAATATCCACCTCTGTTCCTAAAAATGCAATGAATGAAGAAAAAAAAAAAAAAAGGCAAATATCAGACTAGATTAATATTTTCAATTATCTACAAATTAATATATCAATATATCAGAAATCACTCTTCAGACTACCAGAGAAATGTGGACTGATAAATTCTGTTACACTCTGTTTGGCAGAAGATGGTAAATTCTCAAGCATTCCACCTGGGATCATTTTAATCATTTCAAACCAGAGTGGCTTCCTCTACCCATTATGGGAAGAAGCAATCTTTTGCTTACTCTTCCACAGGATGAGGTGGGAACTGTCACCAGTCAGCTGCTGGCTGGCTGCTCGTGAATCATGCATGAATCCACTGGGAATGGCACCTTTTTAAAAGCAGCATGAGGCTTATCACTGGTTACCACAGAAACACAGTGATTTTCCCCAAATTGGTCCACCTGGTTGAGATAGAACACACTTCTAAGAGGTTTTCTTCTGGTTTCAAAACAAGTGATGGAACCAGATTGGGCTTGGGCATTGTTTTACCATTAGCAGCAGCAAAAATGGACCCCAAAAAAGGGGCCTTGCCATTAGCCCCCAGCTGCTTATTCTTACCCCATGCTGCTCACTTCTTATCATCTCATGTGCTCATGATGTCACGGTGAATTAAATGAGAACATTTATCTTTCCTTTTGGAGAGGGAGACTAACTGGGACCAGTAGCCAATCCAGTTCTCTCTATAGCCTTGAAAACCCTTGTGCCAGTGTCTCTGAGAGAGGAGTGCTGTGGGAATTGAAGTAAGCAATGGTGCATGGCTGTTTTGGTTGCTGGTTTCTGCTAGTGTAAAATGAACATGAAAATAAGCCCTGCCCCACAAGGCGTAGTGACTCCTTTGCAAAAATCAGCAGTTCAGTGTCACGTCAGTTACAGTGCTTGGTTATAAATATTCCCTTTTTCATTTTACTCTGGGTTAGGGCACTAAGCACCAGTTTTCCCGAGTGCTTTTCTGCCCTGGGAGAGGGGGCCTGCTGTAGCTGCTGCAATGCCAGAAGTCACCCAAGCTGACCTGTGTCCTTTGCACAGAGCAGCGTAGTGAGGAGATGTTGACTGGCGTCTGGGCTGAGCTGATCAGCCCTGCATCCTGGACCTTTTTCCTTTGGAAAGCCTGAAAAGGAGAGGGACCTTTGCTCCTCCCTGAGGCAGAGAAAAGACTTACCAAGTTTTCATCTTGTCCCCTAAGCCAAGCATGCACCCATGCACTTTGCTCTGAACCTTCTTCTTCCTCAGTGCTGCCTGAGTTTTCCCCTCTTCGGCTCCTGCTGTGCCTTGTCAGTCCTCCACTGACACAGCTCCTACGTCAGCCCTTTGGCTCAGAGCAAGCAGAGCTTTCTGCTAGCTGAACAAGAGTTTATTGAGGACAGTGCTGAAGTAGCCCTTTGCTCCTAATTGACTTCAAAACGAAATCTCATCCTCCGGGACATAAACACTCTGCAAAACTCTGTCCTAAAACAGAATAAAGACTGCAACAGAAAAACAGCAGCAAGCATCAACACTAAACTCAGAGACCAACAGACCAAACAAATTTTGTCAATGGCGAAATGCAAGTGGGCAGCTCGGGTTTTAGCTCTCCCTTCAGCTGCCTAGAACCAGGCAAATTTTGGAGGTTGCAGAGGTGCTCTGCAGCAGCAAAGATGGGGACTCGTCAGGTCTGCGGTACCTCAGCAAGTTACACCAAGCAACATGCCACCAACGTGTGCCCCCACAGGCTTGGAAATTATTTTCTAAGCAACTGTGACTTTAATTTTTCTCCTACCATCACTAAAACCTGCAAGTACATATAACAGTACCACTATAAATTCAAAGTAAACATAGCTAAGCAGGCAATTTACAACTGTACTAGCTGTCCCCCTTTTTTTTTTTAAGTTTATGAGTGTGTGTATATATATATTACATATACATCTATATAAATACACATGTACATATGTATACTCACATGCACATATATATATACACTTCCTAAGCAGTTACACTATAAGCCATATTTCTAAAAAAGCCCTGCTCCACAAGGCATAGTGAGCTCTTTGCAAAAATCAGCAGTTCGGTTTCCTATCAGTTGCAATGCTTGGTTATAAGTATTTCCTTTTCCATTTTACTCCAGGTTAGGGCACCAAGCACCACTTTGCTCAGTTTAGATGTTGATGTTTAGCTTCAGTGAGGGAAAAGCAAAAGCATGCCACTTGAACTACTGGACTGAAACCTGGCCTTGTGTCCCACTACAAATTCAAAAGGAGAAATTTAGCAACAATCTAAATCCAAGCTGCCCAAGTCTTCTCTTTTCCCTACAGAGTCTTGATTTCTCACCTCTTCTGTCAGCACTAACAACCAAGCAGAGAGCTCAGGGAGCTTTCTGAGCTCAGACCTGCCTGTGATCCCAGCTCCAGGTTAGTTTTCCAGTCCGATCATTCCTTCTTCAGTAGCTTGCCACTGGCCACATGGATGTGGGGGCTCCCCTAGGGTGGAACTTCTCAGCAGGTTCAGAAAAAGGGGAGCCTTGACAGAGAACAGCTCAGATTCCCGTTGGGCAACAGCCCTCTTGTTGTTGAAGCTGTTCTGCTGTGTGTATGCTGTTCCTGGGACAGAAGGACTCAGCAGCACAGGAGTAAGTGGGAGTCCTTAGCATTGAGGAAGGACCACAGAACCACTTGGTGTTTCAACACGGAGTACAGAGCAGGCAGGACATCTGGGCTATCACATAGCCAGAGGTGGGACACCAGCTTCAAGGTGGTTTTTAACCAGGCAGATGCACCCCTCACAGCCTAACACTCAAAAAAAAAAAAAAAAAAAAAAAAAAAAAAGGGTCCATCTCTGCTACCACACCTGGCTTTAGGAACAGTGCCATTGCCCAAAATACATGTTCAGAGGAAGGCATTCATTACCAGCTCTTTCCCACTGTCTGAGACAGCATTTTCCAAATTATGCAAAGGAAGGAAGAGAAATAGCCAGAGACTTTGTTTCAGGTGACAATCCACAAAGAGCAGAGGTGAGCGACCCTGGGAGCACGCTGCTGATGGATATGCACGTGGACGTTTATGTGTGTGCATGGCCAGGGCTGTGCTCTGCTCTGCTCTGCCACAGTCATTTCCAAAGCCTTTGAGCGCTGCCTGTTGTGCCTGCTTTGAGCTTGTGGACCCTTAAAGCCCAGCCTAGCAGTGTGCAGTGCAAGGAGCAGTGCATTCACCAGATTTTACAAATAATGCAATGCATGCCTCGCACCTTCGCTTGAAAGATATCTAAGTGCCTGATAAATATGCATGAACCAATCCCCGGTGTTGTGCCAGAGATATTCTGTAGACTGTGCTGAGGCATGTTCCCAAGCGTGAGGATCTGCAGAGGCAATTCACAGTAAAGAAGCATTATTATTGCCTGTTCTTCCCAGTTCACCTTGAGAAAGGGGACATAAATACTGTGATGGTAGCTCTGTCTGGACTGTACAGGCAAAGCTGCCGGCCTCAGAACAGCACAGTAAAGGACGAAGCATTGAGATGCATCTCCCAGGTTTTATTATCTCCTGTGAAGACAGAGCCCATCACTTTTTCGCATGTACAATGCCCTCTATTGCTCCTCAAAGTATGCTAAATCACATTGCTGCCTCTGTTGATTAGTAGAGATGTCATATGAGAGCTTGTACTCAACACGCTGCTGCACAAACCCAGAATTATAAACAAAACAAGTTTCCAAATCATGACATCAAGCAGTTTAGCACCTACCTATCCAGCCAGCTCCCTGCCTCTGCAGTTAGAAAGTGTTGAACAGGGCAGAGCTCTGAATCTGGAGAGTCCGACATTGCAATCAAATAGGAAAAGATCCGTTCCGTGGCTAGGCAGTCAAGTGTGTGAGCCTGGCAGGAGAGGATTAAACAAGATTGGGGTGTAAATTTACATTAGTTGGAAGTATAAATCAGGCCTGAGACACATTAGGCAGACACTAGGCCTGTAAATAATGACACATGCACAATAAACAGACTCTTGGCAGGAGGCTGCCCTTAGGACACAATGGTAGAGGCTCCTGAGATTTGATGAAGGAACACAAAATAACCAAAAAGGGAAGGGAAATGCTATCAGTCTCCAGCGTGTATAAAACAGGGTACTAAACAAATCAGAATAACCTTGAGGCATGCAGGCCTCCCGGATCTTTCTCAGCTTCGCAGCTGCCCACGTTCCACTTGCAAAGCTGTAAACAATGAAATGAAGGCTCTGAAGCACTTCAACAACAAAGCGGCTTCCAGGTATCCTATCAGCAAGAGCAGCTTCCAGTGTTTATCACAGAGATAGAACTGCAAAAACGTTGCTCAGGCTTAATCACATTGGCCACTATAAGATCAAAAACAAAACCAATATCCTCTACGCCTCTAATTCAGTAAGTTGACTGATTTTCTTTGCATTTTTGAGTCCTTTTTGGATGTGGAGAGAACTAGAACCATTCTAGTTAGTAGGTAGTCAAAACACTGCTATCTAGGATACTAGGGCATGGATATGACATTTACATAAATAAGACACTTTTTACTTTTTTCCCCAGAGATTTGTATGTGGTTTTTCTTTTTATCCTCTCCAAACTTGAGATGATGGTCACAAGGCTTATTTGGTCAGCATTGTAGAGGAAGGAGGCTTCTGACTGGTTTGGGAATAACTTCTAGGCCACGGTTTTGTCACTGAGGGACAAAAAGCGGGTGATGTTTCTGTGTGCATGCAAGACTTCCATTGCAGACCCATGCTCTGATGAGAAAGTGAAGAGGAATGAAAGGATGCCTGTACAAGAACGAAACAGACAGCCAAAAAGCACTAGAAATATTTGTGTTTACTTATATTTTGGCCCAGCCTGTCCCGTATGGCATGACTGCCCTCCCTGTCAGGAGAGCACTTTACACACTGGCTCTGTCTGTCCGTCTATCCTGCCTGCTGCAGGCTGGGGAGGGGAGCTGGGCACAGCTCAGGCCTCCTGGACTCACTGGGAGGAGGGGACAAGAGGAGGGTGCTGCTGGCTTCTGTCACCAAGGCCAGTGGCTTTCACCCCTGGTAGCATAAAACTTGTCCAGTGTTACTTTTCCCCATCCAAAAACTACATCACTTTGTGAATCTTGGCCACTTCCCCCAGGAGGCAGGGAGAGGACTTGTATTGCCAAGCCAGCGTTCATCTGCTGAGACCCAGGCTGTTCGTCCTTTGCCTCCTACCCTCTGCATCACTGGCAATGAACCTCCTCATCTCGGCAACTCTCCAAGCAAAGCTGCAGCCAGCACCAGCCTTGGTCTATGCACAACTCGTGTGCAATCGGAGGCTGAGATCTGGAGGAGGTCAGCACGCTCAAGCAGCCCATGTAAATATAAGTGCTCATCAATCCTCATATAAAGCAACAGGGATTAAGCTGAAGTTGCTGCTTTATCTCTAATCCTCACCGTCTCCCATGCTGAGGCTGACTGTCGTAGCCAACTGCAGTCTGTACATACTTTGTGAAAACAGACCTCCACTGCTTGCTGAGCTCTACCGATCCAGTCTGTCTCTCTTCCTTTTCAGCCTCCCACCACCCCCCACCATGTACTAATACCCCGTCATAATAATCCAGAAAACTTCCTCCGTCTTGCTCTTTGGCATGCTTTCTGGAGCACTAAGGGCCCACAGAACAGCCTTGCTGTCTCAGTTTCTGTGCCTCGCGCTACAGCATTCCCAAGCAGCTACCTAGAAAGTTCTGCTCAGCTTCCGAGGTCTTGGTCTGAAGCATGCCTGAGTGCCGACTTTTCTAAATCTATCTACTGACTACATGCGACTGTCAAATTTCAAGAGCGGCTAAGCGGGCCAAATAAAGGCAATTTATCTTGGAAAGAAGAGCAAAAGGCATGCCCCTGACACTATGGCATCCCATTGCGAAATTGCAAGCATGGAAACACCAAAGGAACTCAGCAAAAACTCTGGAAGGTTTTTACTTTTTTTTTTTTTTTTTTTAATACAATGTGGACAAAACAACAATTTTCTCTATCTTAATTCCTGGAAATGACTGAGCTAATCTAGGCAAATCTTTCCCAAATACATCAATCTGAAATGGATACTTGACCCAGGAAATACCTACTAAAATGGTTCAAGACTGGCAAAGTAAAAATAAAAATTTAAAAAAAAATTAAAAAGTCAAAAAAATGGGTACGTCTAAACTTTGCTAGGAGAGACCTACCTGTACTATACATATGTATATATACAAAGTATAAACACAAGAGAAAATAATCCATTTTTCAGTAGCAGGCATCATGCTGCTCTGGCACCATTTAGGTTCTTTAGTTTGTCTGGCATCCAAACTGCCTCCTGGGGTAGCCAGAAAGGTTGGAGCACATCCAGGTTTCACCCCCATTGGCTGTCAGGATGCTCACGAAGATGTGTACTCTGAGGTAAGGCGTGCTGCCAATGCCCACAACTTAGAAGTAGCTGGAGTGCCCCAAAAGCTAGGAGGATGGACTGTCTTGAAAAACAGAGAGGGTTAACACTCTGTTGGATTTCTTTAAAGTCAGGCAGAAAAGTAACACTTTTCTCCAGGACAGTAACAGTTTCTGGAGCAAAGATAACACATTGCCTTATACCCCAAATTTCCCAGGCACTGTAATTAACAATAGGCCTCTGACGAGCTATCTAAGCTGTATCCAGCTGTATCCCAAATGTGAAACACTTGCACAAGTGAAAATTCAATTAGAGACTCTTTTACTCCCATCCAGAATCAACATGATGCCCCACAAATCAGGACCTGGAGCCATGGCAGGTATGTGCCTGTGGAGTCCCCACTACACTCTTCTTTCCCATTTCCCTTAAAAAATCCTAAAGAAGACAGGTTTATAACTGGTATGACTGGTGTGAGTGTTTAAGATAGAGATTTTGAGTGGTGGAGAGATCCTCCCTGCTGTCCTCCTCCCACAGATTTCACACTTGTCCTTTCTTCATGAGGTGTTGCCCTGGGCATACGGAGGGTGGCCCAGAACTCGGAGGTGAAAGTTTTGCTGCACTCCCAGAGATGCCTCCTTCTCGCACCCAGCTGAGGTTGTATAGAGCCAGAAGAAAAGGAAAGACTGAGCTTTTCAGCATACTGGCAGATTGCATACCTAACTGCATGCAGCTTAAGCAGCAAGTCACCCCTTGGAGATAACGGGCAGGCTGGCAGCAGGAGGCAGTGGAGTAATCCACGTGTGCACGTGTTTCAAACTGCATTCGAGTCCTCAAGCAATTGGTTATTAACATAGTTTTCAGCAGAGCTGGACTGGGGATTGCTCTCTTTAGCAGCCCTGTAGTGACAGCAGATCAGTATTTCCAAGGAAAGTGGGCATTCGGCTTTGATACTTGTTAAATGCCACAACAGCTAGTGGAAATAAGAAAGCAAAATCCCCAGTCAGGGAAAAAGGGAGCTTGAACTGGAGTTACCCCCTCAAACTCATATCTCCACTGACAGAAGGGCTTGTGTGCTTTCCAAAGACTCCCATGCATTCGCTCTCAAATCTTCCTCACCTCGTGTGTACTTGTGCACTACACAAATTGATAGATCTGTTTTTCTCCTATTTATTTGGTTTAGCATCCCATTTCTAAAGAGCAGCTTCACCGTGCATAATGCAGCAGCTGCCAATAAGTCACTAGTATAGCCAGCCTTGTTTTCCACAGGGAAGTGTGTGTAGTCAGAAAGAAACGAAGCATCTAAAAATAATGCCCTTAACACTCTACATGCAGCTGGTTTTCTCCAATTTTCCACTGGCCCGCTGCTGTATGCTGATGACAGTGTAAGAGGAGATCAGAGAGCCAGCTCAGTACTTTTCCATGGAAGGACGAAATCTCTAAGAATAACAATTTATCAGAGAAGCTGTGTCTGTTTGACCTGGCTCATTTTCAGAGATTAGAAACCAAATAGCTCACAATGTATTGTGTTGACTTTGGGGGGGTTTCTTATCTAAGAACTGATTTTCATGTTTCATCAGTTCTCAGGGGGGGGGAAAGAATGCACATCTGTCTTCCAAAGTGGATCAGTGAGAGGATAACAACAAATAATGATAACTTACCCATGTGGAGTGCCTTTCATCTTAAAGGATCCCAGAAATGGCTACGGTTTGTTGTCCAGTCCTGAACTGCTGAAGTCACTGCTGATTTCAGTGAGAGCAGAAGCACTAAGACAGGGCAGTATCTCTGCAGCCCTGCAGGTAGCTGGCCAGCCTGCGTAAAGCTCCATGTATATCACCACTGGGGAATTAAGTGTTTCAGAGCTGACAAGCTATATGCACACTCCTGGTTCCCTGGGGACGAAAGAGACCTTATGCAGAAGTAACCCCCAGCCCTGGTCTTCCACACTGCCAGGGGAGCAGGCTGGTTGAAGAGAGTTGTAGACGACCCTGTTGTGGTGGAGGAGACAGTCATGAAAAGAGTCTCAAAAAACAGATCATTGCAGAAACTGATGGGCTCAGTATCATGATCTCACCTATAGAAAGAGTCACTGCATCTCTGGCTACACCTGTACTAGCAAACAACATAGTGGCAAGGCTCACGCATTGACCCTGAGGTCAACTGGCACAGACTGGCCACATCTGTGCTATTAAACACTCTTAGCCTACAAATCAGGGTGGACGCATTCACGTTGTCTGTTGGGGATGGTCCTTGCACTGAGGAAGTTAACCCCCTGTGCTGCAAATATTTAGGTGAGCAGTGGCTGCCCCCCTGCCACCACCACCCTAGGAACTATTAAATTATTACCTTAAGAATTGAAGATTAGGTTCAATCAAGTTGCCGTGCCTGGGCCCAGGCCCCTTATTTCAGTAGCCCTAATTTTACTAATATAGAGATAACTAGTGGCTTCAACAAAGCAGTGTCTCTTTTGTTTCTGGAGTGG